CTACCATTTATTCTCCTTTGTTATCATAGTCTGCTTTGCCTAACTCTCTTGTTTATTTTGTGATTGTAACATCCTAAAATTCTTTGATTATACAGGAATCAACTTGATAGGGGAAGTTGTTGTGCATAAACAGCAGTGGCCTCATGTGAGAGGGGCTTTTTTTTTTCCATTCCAATTTGGTGGTAACTAACAAACACAGAAGAAGCCAACACTTGATACAAAGGACAGGTATTTGGCAGCTACTGCTCTAGCGTAGGTCACTTGGCATACGGACTGCAATTTCACAAGAGAAGGACACAGATTAGACAACCTTGAAAGTGTATTTTTCCATTAATCATGGCTTTATAGAGCTGACAGAGCTGCACGAATTCGGCAGCGCACAGAGGTTCATCAAAAGCCATACAGAATCCTTGAAAGGAAGTTTTAGGAACTGTTCCCAGGAACTGACCTGGGGAACTTGAAGTCAGGGGTTACCTAGAAGCAAACACACCTCAGGAGAAGCAGCTCCATCTTTGGAGAAAACCATTGTACGTACCAGTAAAGCACCAGAATTGTGATCTTGTGGGAAATGATATAACAAACCACAGTGGATTCATTAGTGTTAATATCATTATCAATTCTCTTGATTGCAGAGGACAGGCAAAGCCTCTGTCAGAGGACAGATCTGACCATCTTTAGAAAACATTGCACAGACATCTTTTGAAAGAACCTTGCCAACATCAGTGACACTCACAAGTCAAGTACTACCAGCATGTGACTGCCTGTCTCCCCACACTGTAAATACAAAGTTTAAAAAAAAAAAAAAAAAAAAAAAAGAAAAAGAAGAGTTCTGAAACTGCCAAGAGTATTAGGATTATTTAAAGGTCTGCATTAGATTATCCTACTAATTTCACGTCCGAGATGCTCAGTTGTTAGAGGGATGAGCTCCAGTACAAATTTCACTAAGGATTCATAGATAAACTTCATTTCTGTGACTTACTGAATAATAATGACATATGAAATGATAATGAAATAATAATTTCCCTGACACAGACAATTCCAATAATTTCCTCCAACTTAGAAAATAGATATAGAAAAACAGGAGGATATTTATCAGGGGAGACCTATGAATCACCTGATGACTCATCGCATCTTAAGAGGGGGTAAATAACTGCTACTTCAGCAATCGTTTAGCCTTAATTTTTAATTTAGTCTTAATGTTTTTGTGGGGCAGGAGATGGCACCCATGTACAAACAGGATAATTAGTGCATGGCACTAAGTGCTGTGTGGCACTAATAACTTAGATCACATATTGAAGCTCTCTAGAATAGAAATTCTTGGAATTGCAGTACAGACCCTGTGCTTTCCATTTGATTTCTCAGGCCCATGTAAATCTGTATTTGCACTTACCACCTGCTGCTTACAGTTATGAATGAGTCAGATACAGTATTAAGACTTTGGTACAGAGGGGATTTTCAGTGTCTGCATTGTATATTGAAATAGTGCACTCAGAAGAAATCAGTTGCCTCTGATATAATCACTTTGATAGGGAAAAGCATTGGCATCATGCTGATACATTATGTAGGCACAGCAGAATCTAATCATAACTCACAACCGTTACAGCAGTTTTCACTTCTGAACCCAGAAAGTCCAATAATTACGTTTCTCTCTTCTCTAAACATAACTTATAGTAAGGAGTAATAAAGTCTGAGAAGACAGGAAAAAATCTGTCATAAACTCGTACCAAATTCTTGCTCACAAATAGCAATTTGGGTTCAAAGTCTACGATAATTCAAATCTCCTCACATCATGAATGAATGAATTTGGACTCATTTTAGAAAAAAAGAAATTGCTTCAATTTCTCTTTCTATACCATATTTCTGAGTAACTTCCATCTTAAACAGAATATATGTATATATTAGAAATCAAACTAAATGCAACTTAAATACAAAGAGCTCTATTTCATGATTACAATTAAATAATTCTGTGTATGATTTTCAGTACCTACTCAGATTCTTTTCAAAAAGATTTCCCAATTTTTGGCATATAGTTATGCATTATAAAAACTCCTCCAAACCACATATGCATGATTACCTAAAAAGATATACAGCTGTTAACTTACTGAACTTCTCCTAGAAACTGCAAAGTGTTCAGTGATTATGCAGTTTTTCACTGTATCACATAAATGCACACAATATATCCTGTATGTTCTCCTATTATTTAAGCTTTCTTTGTTACCCTATCAATTAATCTCACTCGACCCCAAAGCTCATTATTTTCTCTTTGGAAAAGACAAATACGTAAACAGAATGAGAACATGATGTATGTATTATTCAGTCAGCTTCCTGCTATATGTGTGTCTGCACGCATAAATGGGCAAGTGATGCGTGTTACGGAATGGTGAAAAGAATCCTGTATATACCAAACTGAACAAATACGAGTGCTAGTCAAGGAGCTAAAGATGGCCTGCATGTACAGCTCACAAATTATCAGCTGCCTGTCCCTAATTAAATTCAGCCAACTCTCACAGCTTGGAAATGAAGACTTGAACAGCTCCACTATCAGGCCAAGCATCTCAACAGCTATTCCTTCTTTCCTCTTCTCGCATCCTAAATCTAAAAGAAAGTTATTTATAATTCAGTACTCCCTGAGTCATTTCTTGGAATTACTGCTAAAAAAGGAACTCTGAGAATTAAAAGCAGCAGGAAAAGGCAATCTACCCCTCACCCCTCTGCATACGAACTTAACCCTGCCTCTTGTTTAACAGCCACAAGAGTGAAAATTCCCACTGAGAGGGAGAAACTTGTCAGGAGCTTTGTTAGGACAATAATTTGTTGCGTTGTCACCTAGTATTGCATTAATACTCTCCTCTTGTCTTCTGATGGGGTTATCACTACAGCCACAATGTAATTTTAGGTCCATTCAAGTGTGTCCAAACAGTTCCTCTGCCCCAGTTTCTTGCTTTGTCTACCCGATCTCAATTGGATGCTTGAGTTACTTCAAGGATGCTGAATACTTACAGAAGGGAAGATGGAGCTAGAGTTTTTTTTGTGAAGTAAACACTTTGCTTGTACAGTTTCTTAACAGAAATTTCTTCTAGAGTCATATACTTCTACAAGGTCAATAAAGCATGCCCACCTTGATCTTTCTGCTAACATTTGTAAGAAGCCTGAACTAGGTTTCTCTTTTTGTTTCACATTTTAAGCAGGATTCAAGCTTTCTATTCCTCAAAACACAGCTTCCACACACAATGATTTGAAGTTGTAAATGGGTCCAATGTGTGAGAATTGCTATTACACATAGTGGTATCCTCTTTGGGTGACAACACACATAACCACCTTCAAGAAAGTGGCCAAGAATTAATGATGAAAAGCTGGGAAGAGTGAACACACCAGAAGGCTGTGTTGCCCTGCAGTGAGACCTGGACAGGCTGGATGGAGAGGAATCTGATGAGGTTCAATAAGGACAAGTGCAGAGTCCTACACCTGGAAAGGAATAATTAGACTGAATTGGGCTGCCCAGGGAGGTGATGGAGTCACCAAACCTGGAGATGTCCAGGGAACGTTTGGATTTTGTGTGCTGAGGGACATGGTTTAGTGAGATCTATTGGTGATGGGTGGATGGTTGAATTGGATGATCTTGTAGGTCTTTTCCAACCTTGGTGTTTCTGTGATTCTTTGTGAATAACCACATGCATTACTACAGGTTAAGGGCTGATCTGCTGGAAAGGAGCTCTGCAGAGAAGGACTTGGGTGTCCTGGTGGACAGCTGGTTGGCCATGAGCCAGCAGTGTGCCCTGGTGGCCAAGAAGGCCAATGGGATCCTGGAGAGCACTAAGAAAAGCACGGCCAGCAGGGTGAAGGAGGTGATCCTCCCCCTCTGCTATGGCCAAGTGAGGCCACATCTGGAATACTGTGTCCAGTTCTGGGCTCCCCAGTTCTGGAAAGGCGGGGAACTTCTAGAGAGATTCCAGCAGTGGGCCACAAAGATTACTAGGGCCATGGAGAATCTCCCTTACAAGGAAAGGCTGAGGGACCTGAGAGTGTTCAGCCTGGAGAATACGGTGAGGGAAATCTTATCAATGCTTACAAAAATCTCATGGGTAAGAGTCAAATGAGTGGGGCCAGGCACTTTTCAGTGGTGTCCAGCAGCAGGACAAGGGGCAATTAGCACAAACTAGAATACAGGAGGTTCCATATGAACATGAAGATAAACTTCTTTACTTGAGATTGGCAGAGGTGGAACAGGCTGCCCACAGAGGCTGTGGAGTCTCCTCCAGAGATACTCAAACCCTGCCTGAATGCTTTCCTGTGCAGCCTATTGTAAGGAACCTGTGCAGCCTACTGTAGGGAACCTACTGTAGGGAACCTGGGTGTTGGACTAGGTAATCTCCAGAGGTCCCTCTAACCCCTATGATTCTGTGATTCTGTGTTTAGATGTATGTTAATTCAGCAGACTCACTTGAATTCTCTTTCCAATTTCCACTCTTCCCAAAACTTAGTGAAAGCATCTAGAAAATTTTCTGTACATACTTACGTACAATGAGTTCAAAGCAAAATAGGGAAAGAGAAGTAAAAAAGAAAGCATCTTAAGAGAAAGAGATTCCTGGAAACACAAAATAATGCTCTCAAAACATATGCCATTATTAAGGAGCAATTATTGTGTGGATTTTGTGTGATAGTCTAGTTAGTCTCTATTTCATTTGCTTTCCAAAGACTCCATAGTCTATAAAAGGACTGGAAATTTCTATAATGAATACTATAATGGCATTCATTATGCCAGCAGAATTAAGTGTGTGTCAACACTTCCATTATAAAATTCAGTTTTTAAGAATGTGTAACTCGTCTCTATAAATACTTCATGCTCCAGTTTATTTCAGAATAAGTCAAAACATTATTTTCTCACAGCATACACTGTTGTAGTGATGTTACTGATTTCAAATAGACAAAGATCTTGATTAACAAAGATGAAAGAGGGAAAACAAATTCACTGCTTTAACATGAAAATGCTTTTTTTTTTTTTTTACAGAAATGTATTTCAATTTTAAAATACTACTGGTACATAACCAACATAATGCTGGTTTTGTTTCCTTTTAAAAACTAACACGCCACTGCTCTGATTCTTTCTGTGGAAGATTAGCTTTGGGGTCTGGTTTTGTTTCTTTTTTCCCAAATAATGTCTGTTACAAAATTATGTTTCAGTCTAATTCTCAAATTGGGACTTTCCAATTAGTGTGGGGGATGAAGTCCTGTACATCTGCAGAAGCAGATTAAATGGTATAACTGTTGTGAGGGTGTACGTGCCATCTTTTCTCTGTTCTACCTTCTGTGATTTCTATTCACTGTGACAACAGTAAATCTGATGTTGCACAGGAACAAAGAAATGTTCAAAGATTTTGAGTTAATGCTTGATGGATTGATGGATTTACGTCCAAGAAACCTCAACTTTGAAAGGAGAGAAGAAACCAGGTGTTGTAAGAGCTGTAAAGCCCATGGTAATTAGGCTGGGGGTAGGGAGCAGCTTTCCTGTTGTTGCTGACTGTGAGTATAAAATATACAGCTCAGAAGGCTTCTTTGTCTGAAAGATTACTTTCCATGTAATTTGGATTCTTCACTACTCATTCTTTTGTTAATATTTATGTGCTATTTGTTTTCTTGAAACTACCAACACAAGAGGACAGCAAATTATTGACATTATTGAATTCACAATATATATTACAGATAAAAATGCATGGTAGGAAGACTAAGCTACTTTCTTACCAAAGGTAACACAGACAAACCAGAGATATCTTCCAGTAAAATTTCATTTTATATTTAAACTTTGGGGGCCCTTTTTGAATTACACCAGCCTCAAAGTTTAGCTCCTGCTCATAAGTTTTTATGTTTGTAGCTACAAAAAGGAGTATAAATTGTGATTGCTTACAGTGAGGTGTATGAGACAGGAGGAATAAAGACATTCAGAAAAACATTTGGATACTGCAAGCTGTTTTGGGTTAGGCAGAAGCGCTTGACACGTCTACAGGGGGGAAAAGAACGAAATTCTCCTTGTTACTACAGAAACAGACCTTAAAAACAGCAATAAAGTACATTCAAATTCAGTCAAAAATTAATATGGCTTCTGGTGAAATACTGAGCATGCATTTCTAATATAGAAAAAAGATGAAATGGAGGTAAAATGGAAGAAAGATATCCTTCAGGGTAATAAATGATGACCAGGTGAGAACAAATCATTTCAATTCCAAAAAAATATTATGTTTTAATGCTTGGATTACTGGGAGGAAACAGAAGTTTCATCGCTATGAAAGCTGCAAAGCACCACCCCAGCATTTTGTGGAATAATTACCTGGGTGAACCACAGAACTCCTTGTTTGGCAATGCAATTACATGCCAAAAACTTCCACAATTCCATTTCTTTCTCAGTCTTTATGCCCCTGAGTTCATTTACATTGTATTGTTCAAAATTGCCTTCAAACAAATAGAGTTACATTAGAAACTGCATTTTGTGTTCCATGCTCAGAATACAAAGCACCTGTAAAAAGAAGGTACCATCACCTCCATCTAACAGAATAAATTAAGTAAGAGAGAATTAATTGCTCAACATTCCATCAGCCTGCAGCAGCAGCAGCACCTGGAAAGGCTGTTTTTTAGTCTAATTTCAACATGAAGGGGATAAGGAGCATCATCTTAGCATGTTAAACCTGGCTGCACAGTCTTTCCTGTATATAGAACAGAATTGGCAGCTCAGAATATCAGTCACAATTCACCTGTTTTCATGTAGCACATGGAATCATGACATTCTCAGATTTTTGGTCTGAGAAAAGGAGAAGCAGATCTCCCATGCAACTGAAAGGGAAATTCATCACTACATAATTTACTCATCTGTCAGTTCAACTAAAGGTGTTTCTGGAATATCATGAAACTGCAAAATATCCAGATATTTTAGTATAGAATATGCATCCATCAGCTAAGTTAATTTTAAAATCAGCAGTGTACTGGCAATGCATAATAATCTAACATAGCACAGTACATTAAGCAAAGATCAGTGTTAATTTGCACAGTTTTTCCTTTTTTCAGTTTAGTGAGCAAAGGCTGTCATAATAATCATGCTGGTTGTTGTCCAGCTTTAATGACTGCATTCATGAAGGCTCCCAAGTGCAGCATGGTATAAATAGTGTGATCTGCTGTGCACAATTTGTACATTTAGGTATTTACATTAATTCTTGCTTTGAAAGTGTGCTCCTCCTCTAAACACTGTGCAGATGTATGCATAGAAGACCATGTGGGAAACTGAGCAGCCAACAGACTGTTTCGTGGGATGCCATGCAATTCTTACAAATAGAAGGAAACCAAATGATCTGGAGATGTGCACAATAGGGAAAAATGTCAATATGAAAGGAAAAAAAAGCACTATAAATAGAGATAAGAGTGTCCAAGTTCAGCTCTCCCAGGCTGAAGTAGCACATGGTAACAGCACTAAATACACTCTTTGCTTCAAGCAGCATTATGGACCAGAGGAGAAGAGACAGGTGGGTCAGGCAGCATTGTAGAGCATCCAGCTGTTTCCTTTGTGTCCACCCAGCAACATCAAGGACCTGTTTGCTTTTACTACCAGCTGTATGAATCCTTATTCCTACGGCTAATACAACTAAATTACATCCCACATATGTGGAAATGGTCTTCAGTTCTTTTTTATCACGTCCAGAAAAGACTAAGATACTAGGGGGAAAAAAAAAGAAAAAAAAAAAAAAAGAAAAAAAAAAGTAAATATCAAAACCCTTGTTAACTTTAGGTAAAAAGCTAAATATTTCACAATAAATATTTGCTAAGGTCTCTTGCAAAATGAATGAGTCCCATTATTTTCCCATTCTTCCCACATGAAGCAATTTATCTCAATTGTGGGCTTCACCTGTTTTTCTTCAGGAAAACATACATCACAGTACATACCTCTGGTAAACAACTTTGCTAGAGCTCTTAGAAAGAGTTTAAAACACAAGAAAATCAAATATTATGCCTCTGATTACTGAGAATACTACATCCACAGTAAAAATGAAACAGGCAAATATCCTAAGGGAACATCAAGAAAGTCCGCACAGCAAATAGGAGACCAAACTTTCAAAGTAAAGATATTTTTGTTTGCACAGTGGGAGAAGATTGCAATGAGATGTACCCAAGCTATTTCTGAAACTCATTTCCCACTCGCTAGACTTGAGTCTTAGCATACTCATATCACATAAATAGCAATTGCAGCAGTTCACTCCAGCTGCAACTGTTTAGGATTTGTTGAATTAAATGGTAAGAGACTGGAGCTGAAAGACTTACTAGAGAAGTTAGGAAATAGTCAATTTATTCAAACATTTTTTAAAGCAGCATATTATTCTGTTTTTCAAGTCACAACAAACTAATATCAGATGCTTGAGCCTACATTTTAATGCATATTTTACCTTTTAAGTAAATGCTCAGTCATGTGAAGTTTTCCTCAGCCATGTACAACCACAGCGAATTTTCAGGAATGGCTTTTCAGTAAGCAGCAGACAGTCTCTCCAAATCAGTCCTCCACCTTGCAAAGTTTTTCTCTTTGTGCTGCATAAAATAGGCAAAACACAACAGTAGCAACATTTGTTTTTTGAATTTATCACATTTCTACTCTTAATCTCTAAAATGCATATTCCATAGTCAGCTTGAATCTGCTGCAAAAGTCATGCATTACTTCCTTGCTGCAGGTGAGGTACAGAGCATAAAGCTTTACAAGCCATGGAAGTAAGAAGCCAGGCCCCCAAGAATTACAGCTACCCAAAGCAATTCTGCTCACGCAGAACAAAATCTCTCTGCTCAAAAACTCTGAAAGCTTTGTGCTGGGAGATATCATGAACCGTCTCTACTTTCTCCGTATAACCCATGTATCAAATAGCATTGCTACAACCCCAGAAGCATTCACATTTCAATTTACTTCCTTGAAAGCCAAGTGCAGCAACCAGAATCAAACAACAAATCGTGTCTACACTCCTACCACAGCCTAAATCATGTCCTGAATTACAAGCTTGGGCAGCATGGCAAAATGAAGTGTTTTCAAGTATCAAGGTAGCAGTGCTTCCCGCTATTGCGTTTCTTTAACGCTCTATTGGTAGAGCAGCACTTCCAGGCTGCAGTTCCTCACTCTTATCTCCACAGTACAGATTCATTGACTGATGTCCCCGAGCTACAAACTTTGCCATCCAACACCAAAAGCAGCTTTGTCCACTGACAGGTCTGTGAATTTTCCCCTCCAAGAACTGCACCACAGATTAGTCCTGCAAAAGCCACATTCACTTCATTGTCTCAAAAGTTCAGTTTCCCCATATTCAGAAGGAGGTGGTGGTTGACAGGCACACTCTGCATCACCAGCTCTTCCTTCTGCACACTCTCTAAGTTATGCAGATGCCTTTGAAAAAAACAGGTTTTGGTAATGGAACAAATGACCAATGGACAAATTAAAATCTACCAGATGAGTTATAACAGTCTGAGGATGCAGTTGGAGCTAGCCCCAGTTCAAAACAGAAATGCACCAGCTTGCCACCATTCCAGCTGAGGCATACCATTAATAGCTGCAGCTCAGATCACTAATGTTTTTTCTAATGTCAAGATGTCCAAGACAGTAACACATAAAAAGAAAGCATGAAAAAGACAGGAAAATATTTTGGTAAAACCTTCTCCTTCTATTATGACTTGATAAAACAGTGACAGTCAGAGGAAAGCCATACCCCATAACGTATCAAAAAACATTACAGCAGAGAACTCATTGGTTACCCAGGTGGGAATGCATGACAGGTCTCTCACAGTTCAGCACTTCTCTGCAATGGTCCCCCCTGCCCTAAGGGCTTCCCTGCATACTGTCTTGGTGAGAGGACTTTTACGTGGGTACAAGTCATCTTCACTCAGCCTCCCAGAGCTCATTCCATCTGGCTGTAATTCAGAGACTTACGCTAGTTCTTCAGAGCTCTTCAACCAGTGAAAACCATCAGCTCCCAGATTTGGCTATCTCCCTTTGCAAACACTACCACATCCTTGCCTTTGGTTTGTTCAGTCTTCCCACACCCAGGTTCCAGCACTCATTTTTTCCTTTAGTTCAAAGTGAAGATATTCAAAGACAATAATAAAGTCAGACCCCATTGCCCTTTGCTTGCAAGACATGCTAGCTTAAGTCGTGGCCTGAGCTCCTCAGGCTTGTTCATTTTTTATCAGAAGAGATGCTGAGGCTATGTTTTTATTTTTCCTCAGTTGGACTGACCACTTTTTTTTTTTTTTTTTTCTGCTTACCAACTCTATTACACTGATCTGAAATAACCGAAAAGTCAGAATGTTTCCACCTGGATGGATGATCTTTTAGGTCTTTTCCAACCTTGGTGATTCTATGATTCTATGATTCTACCTTCTGAGGCTCATTAGCAGAGTTCAAAGACAGATGGAAAGCACACAGGCTTGGGTAGTTTGGGTTTGCCGTTTACACTGCAGAAGATGTAAGAAAAAAATATATGAAAGTGAATAAAGCTAGACATTAGATTATAGGAGCCTTATTTTAATCCTCTTACATTTTCCTATGAGAGGGAAGGAAATGTAAGAGTCTATATAATCCTATCAGAGGAATGGGAGTCCTGATTCTCCCAAGAGGGAATAATTTCTCTAGTCATTTTTCCAAAACTTACAAATAAATCTTGGCTTGGCCTGCATTTAAAAAGAATGATTTCATGAACCCCGTGCTTAAAATTGTCCCATAGGTCACAGGGAGGAAATTTTCCACTGCAGCCATTACTCAGAGTCACCTTCAAGGAGCCTACGATGGAAGCCAAAATTCTAAAATCCTTTAAGACTGCTTAAAATAGTTGTGAACTAAGCTACCATATTTAAGGCAATGATCTTACCCTGCCGCACAAAGTGGTTTGACAGTAACATGTTAATACGGGTACTTTATAGAGTAAATTATTTATGTAGAGGATCTTGCTGACTGCATTCACACTGGAAAGAATGCCGTCCTTACTGACTTAAATGCCACCCTGGAGCATGGCTAAGGGGAACTGCAGCATTGCTTAAGTAAATAGTCTATTTGTTCTTTCACATTCCCACAGGACAAAAAGAATTTATAAGTATCAGGATATTTTAACCAGTTTTCATTCCTTTTTTTTTTTTTTTTTTTTTTTCTTCCAGGAAGAGACGTCGGTGATGTCATTTGCCTTTACACATTCTCTCAGACTAACAAGGATGAATTCATCTTCAAAGGAGATCCTGTCAGCAGTTGACTCCCAGGGGTGCTGGTTCCCTGCCCCGCATCCTGTGGGTATTTATTGACTGGCCTGTGAGCTGGTGCTTGTCATCACCCTGTGTGGCACCGTTCCTGACTTTGCAGCCTCCGGACAACATGCCACCAGATAACCCTGATGTCAGCTCCTAAAGGACCAGCACCTCTGGTCTCTGGTTATGAGGTGCCTTTCGTCAGTGCAAACTGCAGTTAATAAGTTTGAGAAGAAAGTAGCTGCATTCTTAGGCACAATGTGAAGCAAAACAGTAATGCAGAAGGACTATTAGGAAACTGTTTGGGAAGAGTTCAAAGGCTATCATTTATACAAGAAACCTGATCTGACTTGAAAAATAAAGGTGTGATTTCACACAGGATATTGGCCTAGATATAGGCCTTTTCCTATCACATAACACAGGATTAGATTATTTCACATCCTTATCTCAAGATTTTAACTTGAAAGTAATGATTAACAAAGCAGATACGAACCCTTAGAGGCCTATTTCAGTAAAAACTGAAGTAAAAAAATTTATCAGATTGTAAACATTACGAGGCAATTTGACACTCAGGTATATCCTTCATGGCATAAGGAAACACTTTACTCCACGCCTGTTAATTCTTAGTCCTATGATAATTTTAATATCTTAAGATGTAAATTTAATGTTGGTGGAAGCTGCGTGTGTGCTGATCACAGAAGCCCATGATGGCTGAGGCTGGCAGGGGCTGCCATGTCCATCAGTCCCAGCCCCAGCTGCAGTGGAGCCACCCATAACAGCTGCCCAGACCCATGTCCAGGCAGCTTTGGGAGATCTCCAAGCAGGAGAGGACTCCACAGCCTCTTTGGGCAGCCTGTGCCATGGCTCCAGCACCTGCATGGTACACAAGTGCTGCCTGGTGTTCAGACAGCACCCCTTCTTGTTTCGCTTTGTGCCCATTGCCTCTTGTCCTGGTATTGAGCGCCATTCAAAAGACCGTGGCTTCCTCTTTTTTATACCCTCCCTTTGGTTATTTGTACACATGGATGAGATCCCTCTGAGCTTTCTCTGCTCCAGCTCCTAGAGTCTTTCCTCATGGGAGATAAGGATTAGATTGGATCAGGTTGAATCTCTTGGAATCTGATCCTAGCAAAATCTGCTTAGGCTGGCGCCTTTTTTGCAGATTAAGAACTATCTCAAAACTGGTTAATATTTTTGAATTACATCCTTTGCACAATGTTTGTATTTTGTATGGATTAATGGCTTCGAGTCTGCCCTTGTTCCCACTTGGGCACACCATTCTCACTGGGCGCTGCTGAACTGCAGCCTAATCCTGTGGGATGCTGAGCGCCATCCAAAAAGATGCTGACAGCTTCAGGTCCTGCTTAAATTGTAGGCTTCTGACAGTAACTAACATGCTGACAAAGCACTAGGGAATGGCAATATCACTGCTCGTGTTTATAAACCCACTCTAAATACCTAACTTGAGACAGATTCTTTTCTGAGGACAAAGTTGTATTTTTTTAAATAAATTTTAACTGTAATCGAGTGGTATTCTTTTCAGAATGGATTGTGACAGGGCACAACATACAACATCATCAGAAACATAATATGGAATAAGTATTTCAAAGACTTACTGTCAACCTGAACACATTTTATGGGATGATCTGTGATCCAGATGGTAGTGAAGCTGAAGTTTTTCTGTTTTTGTGGCGCTGTGGGAATAAGATACTGTGATTTGGTGCCAGTGTGTGATCAATAAAGAAAAATGTTGGCAATACTTTGGAATATTGTGCATTCTTAGCTAGATGACGTGAACTCCAATGATTAATAGCGGGATAGCTTTGAAGAATTACTGGAAAAAGATTTAAAATCATTTTCCTTTGTGCTATTTTTCCATTCAGTGGATTGGCAAGGAAATAACAATAAGAATTTACTGGTATGAATAATGTGTCATTGGTAAGTTCTTTATACTCCTGTCCAACTGGCAGTTCTTAAGATTTTAATTCTTCTGCAGCATTACCTGAATTCCCAAATATAAAAATGAATGCTTGGTTCAAAATATTAATACTAAAGTAATGAACCTCTACAATGCAGCTCCTGAATATCAGTGTAAAATTTTAATACCCTTCAGTATCTTGTATCGTTCTAATCAATTAATAATCTGCAAAAATTCTATCTACATTTATGTAGGAAGGGGTGGAAGAAAACTGATAGCACTGAGTTACCTTGGCAATAGCATTTTCTCATTAAAAACATCCCTACAGAGCCTTATATCTGCTTTTGTAACATATTAATGTACGCGTTTAATAATTCTAAAAATGTTAGAATTGCTGCCATCTACTAAGGTGACCTAATTTTTTAAACGACTCTTCATATTTATGTGTTTGGAAAAATGCATGGGATGAAAGCCTCCATGCTCCAACTTGGACCTTACTTCTGCCAAAATAATTAAGATTGTTCTGTGAATGAGACAACTGATGAGAAATTCAGTGTTTATGATTTTGTATGCCCTCCGCTTTAAACCTTTTCTTCAACACTTTCCACTGAGTCCAGGCTTTAGGTAGCGATATTAACTATTTTGTCATACAAGTGCCAGCTGCTATTTTTGTACAAATCTACTCTAATTTAGGAAACCTGGAAAATTTCAGTTTGCATGTGATCAGTAAAGACTTATCTTTTACAGATCAGTTCCTTGGAAGCTCTCCATCTCTTCTCTGGGAAAGTTCCAGATGGCCTGATTAAAACTTCTGTGTGCTCCTGTAGATGACACCACACCTAGGTTGGGCTGAAATGATAGCGTACATTCTCTCCAGTTGACTCCAGGCAATGTGGAACGGGGAATATGCCTTCCTGAGAGGCAAAGAGATTATTTCGGTTGGGAAATGAACAGACTGGAGATTAAAATAACAGAGGTTTGGGGAAAAGGTCAAATTTGTTGGGGCAAATGAGACAGTGGGTGCGTTTACATTATTCTTATTTGAAATAAAATCCTATTTCTGACACATATTTCTTGCCTTTGACTGCCATTTCATTGTAGTTTTGCAGTACGTGAACTTTCTATGAATGACCTCCGACACAAAGGAAAGAATAGGGATTAGGGAAACTAGTACTTAAATCAGGTGTGATGAGATAAGATTGGGAGGCCGAGACTTAATTATTTAATTAAACAATTAGTGAAGCAGATGTGATAATTAATTAACTGAGAAGGGTAAAAGAGAGGAAAAGTGGAAAAGAGGAAGAATAGAAATAAGATGAAGTGTAACATGGTAAGTTGAGCTAAGTGGGGGACAGTTTTACAAGTGCATTGTTCTAGTGCCTTATCTTTCTGGAGTGGTTGGGTCAGCTGTTCAGTTCCCAATTGCTCTTCTGTTTCTGTTAGGTTTCTCTAATACATGAACTTGCTTGTGACATCTTCTTGAGGAGACTTTCTTTCCCAGGTAAGCTCTAACCTCAATTTAGGGGAAGGAAAGGGAAGCTCTTCTAAGGCTGCTCCTGACAATGTGATTTTCTTTTGCTGAATTTGAACTAAAGTACATAATTGTCTCATCATTACTCCAACTCTGTCTAGAATGGTGTACCAAAAGATTAAAGATGTAGTGCTACAGGCAGGCATATAATGTAAGTAGTTTAATTAAACGTACACATGTGGTAAAGGTCTTAACATCAACAATATCTGTTAGTATATTGGAAACACCTGTGACAGCAAGGCAACCCAAGATCTGTTTTATTTATTCTCTAAGCTCTATAAATGTAAATATTCCAGTAAAATAACTAATGTGATTGATCTTAATGTATGTATTTGATAATCTGTCTTGGCAAGGCCAACTACAGTACATTACAAACATTGGTGGTGAAACCATACCACTGTTCCATAAATATCTTCAGCTGAGCATCGTTTCTCTGGAGAGAAGTTTCAAAGCCACTAGGATATTCATATATAAATAGCTTAGAAATATGTTGGAATGAAGATTAGAAAAAAAAATATTGCAATGCTATTAGTGTTTTTTTTCTGGTGTATGAAATAATCTGCTTGTACCTATGTATATTTTGGTACAGAGTATCCTTAGTTTTACTGAATCTGTACACAACTATCCTACTTTATAACTGTGATACATGCTATTTTTTTTAATAGCAGGAGTTAAGAATGTTTGGAAATACAACCCAAAATCTGTATTTTTATTGCAAACGTGCATCTTGCACTGCTTATTGAGATGGAGGCAGGAAGAAAGACCAAATTCAATATTTGTTCAGAATTCAATAGTTATTTAGAACCATCATAGAGAATTTTATGCCATCTTCTGTTGTGATCACGATGAAATTGAATGCATGCTGATAGGCCATAAGACATTATTGATCAGTAATTGTTAGCATATGATTAAAAAGCAGCCAGAAAACATATCTGGCTTCTGACCTCAGACGAGTCATCAAATATATTGTTATAAATAAGCAAACATTCACACCTACCTGACTAAGCCTTCATACAGATACTCAGGTACGTTTGTAAGAGCATGTGTTGTTTGAACACAGAGAGACATCTGAATCAGGTGTAGACCCCAGAAGTCATAGTGGTGCTCTACTCTGAGAGCATAAAAGGGATGAAATTGAATTTTTAAGACAGTACTCATGTATTCAGCACACTCCTACATGGCCCGTGAGAAAAAAACAGAATTCAAGACAGGTTATTGCTGCTCACTCAGGCCTCGATACAGACTACAATGAAGTTCAGTAAAGGTGATTTACCTGCATTACACTTTTCACTTGTTGACTTTGGAAGCCCATCAAAATCCAAATGAGCTACCAGGTGACAGAAGTAGGCAGCATTTTTTTAGTTTGGGAGACCTCTAGTGGACCTCCATCCTTCTTGTCTCCAGTTGCAACTTCCACAGCCTGCACAAAGCAAAGCTAGGTTTGCATTTGGCTTGGACTCCATATGTATGAATGAATTTATTAAGGTATTTGGAATCTAAATGGAGCTGTTCTAAAATCACACACAGTAATAACTTTGATTGAGATTTGAATCGATCTGATAAATGATTGATTAAGCTATGCAATGTTGAGCAGAACAACATTGACTTGCTTAGAGGTCCGTGTTAAAATACTCACCTTTAGGTGTATTTATAAGTATTTACAATATAAAAATGGTGTATTTGAAGTTGTGATCCAAGTGACCAAGCTACTTTCAGAGCTCATTTTTCTCTGGTTGTGTCTTAGGTTGGTCTTAGGTCTTAGGTTATGTCTTAGTAAGGGCAGCCTTACTGCATAACACTGACATAATGAAGGCTCTTCAAAACTCATTCTTTCTCTTCATTATATTTTTGAGTACTAATAGAACCAGGATCATGGCTCTTCAACTTGTTTACAAATTCAGTAGGAATGGACAATAAGTCTAGAGTACTATACTTAGATACTGAAAGAGAGGAAAGAGAGTGCAACATTTACAAATGATTTAGTAGTTTTTGAGAACATGAATTTCATGGTGTAATTTATTCACTGTTATCAGTTATCAAAGGGTAAATAATGTGATACTCTTACTTGCAGTCCTGCTTCATTCCTCAAGGAGCAGTGCTCCCCTTTACGGAGAAGGAACAGCTAGCTCCCTGTGAGCCATATAGCTAACTCCAAAGCACAGAAACAAAGAGCCACTTGTGTTTGTGACAGAAAGGATAGATTAAGCAGGCTACGTTCGTATAATAAAAACAAAAAATACTTAATATGAAAAGAACGATACAGGCCATAAAAATCCAGTGCAGAATACTTGCTTCTACAGGAGTGTTTTCTAATGCAGTTGTTTTCTGTGCAACTCTTTATGCATTTGTGCATATGTCTATTGTCCATTTTTCAGTGACCAAGACAGCAGAGTGTGGAACCGCTGCTTTTCTAAAAGACTGTAAGTGTTTCTACTGCAATTTCAGTTTTTGTGTTTATTCCTCGTCCATAGGAGGTTTTGTACAAACATAACCTTCACTAACTGTTTAGAAGTTCTTCACACAATTACAACTAATTCCATAATGTGAGCATAAGCATTCAAACCTCAACCCTGAAACCATTTCATATGCAACTACATAGAAATCAAGAGAACCTTGATTCACAAAAGCAAACATTTACCTTTTGTCTAGATGAGCAGATGTTTGTTAGTTTTAAATTACATGCTGAGCTTTCAAAATACTTGTTCTTTGGTATGATTGCCCAAAGAATATATTCAGAATATGCAGGAATATAGAAATATCTATGCATGAATTCCTTTTTTAGCCAGTCATAATAGGAAACATAACAAGCAGTGAGGAGACAAGAGAATCAACTTCTCCCTTACAGTGGCTCCTAATCCTATAAATAGTTGAGTAAATGCTTAATTCTAACTGTTGTGAGACAGGAATTTATAATTGTGCTTGTGAATAGAAATAATTATCTTTGTGAAGCTACACGTTTTCCTTTGGTCATAAATCATGCGTAAAAATGTGTTCATGTCTTAGCCTTCCCATTTTCCTGCAGAATATGGCCCTATTCCTCCTCAGAAAACATCTCCTAGCTTACCTCAGTGGGAGAGTGGGGATGATTGGGAAGGACTTTCTGAAGACAGCATGGAGGAAAAGGAAATATTTACCTACAGAAGTAGCTAGCTTAATGCCCAGTGAAAAGACCTGCCTGGATGCCTACCTGTGCGACCTACTGTAGGGAACCTGCTTTGGCAGGGGGGTTGGACTCGATGATCTCTGGAGGTCCCTTCCAACCCCTACAGTTCTGTGATTCTGTGAAAACAGTCAGGATTTTGTCACATCAGCTCAACTCATAAAGGACAGAGTACGTAAATCTAAGCATCTCGTCACCTGCAGACCACATCAGTGGACAACCTTTTTTGTTTCAGTGTGGTGAGGAGACAAGGAGTGGAGCACATGTAAGCCACGGCGCCTTTGTCCGTTCTGCAAGGATGTTATTTTGACACTGGTGTGGGGAATTATCTTCACAGAGGTAAGTGTAGTTTGTGAAAACTGTGATGAACATTTATTCTAATTATAATTCTTCAAGTTAAGAATAAAAGACGGAGACTTTTCATTTCAACAATTTTAGGGTTCAGGAATAGAAAGACTACATCACAATCAGTCTCTGGAGCCTTAACAGGCTGAATTTCCATTGTCTTTTCTGGTGGCTAGGTCTCAACAGCACTATTCCTGAACCTGGTGCAAAATAAATTCCTGAGGGACAATCCAGATAATTAAGAGTATAAGAAAAATCACTTAGGAAAGTTACAAATGAGGATGCTGGAAAAACAGCCATTATAAAACAGTTTGAAAGATTTGCAAAACACTGAGACACTGATTTTTCTCTGCAGTCTCAAACTATTTAAAGATGGAAATTAATGAAGAGCTGTCGCATTATTTAAATTTAAAAATACACAATATACAATTTTATGGAACGTATTATAAAACCTTTGAAAATTGAGGTAAGTCCCCAATGCACAATGAAAAAGACTCCATAGTGTAAGCTAAGTGGTGTCAGACGAGGTGTAGCATCATAACCAACCATGATACAAATATCCAAGACTGAAGTGTAATTCTCAGCATGGAGAAAAGTCAAGGATTGAAAGATTTGTATAAAGCATTTATTGTAGATGAAGAAAAGAAAGCAAGCACCAAAGGGAAGCATGACGACTCGTAATGAAATCCAGATGTTTTTACTGGGTGCTGGAGTCACTGTAACTCTTGGATGGGGTGGCACTGCAGCTCTCTGTGGAACTCTGTGGCAATGTGATGTCCTGTGAGCTGACATGGAACGACCCAAAGTATACAACTGTTGGCTTGGGATAATTATCCAGCCATTCAGAGAGTCTGACGGTGCTTCTGCAGATTATTGCACAAGCAGATCCAATAAAAAGACAGAAGTGTGCATAAGGAATACTGCATATAATAAAATATTCTGTTGCGACTGCATGTATTAAGATTAGGCCTTCACTTGGAATATTGTTTTCTGATTGTCCTACCCAACTATAACGTAATAAAACAAGATAGGACTCTGAAAAGCATGGAAATACAGAGGGAGTCAGATGGAAAATAGAGGGGAAAAAAAAAAGCCTAGCTGGGAAAGGATAAGTCTTTAACACAGAAAATAAATGGAGAAGTGAAATTATTTCTATTTACTCACTTCCATAATTGAAACAAATAAATGCATTCAATGAAACTGGAAAGTAAAAAAAAAAAAAATTACAATAAGCATAAGTAGCTGACGACAGATGATCAGTGTGAATTTCAGGAAAGACTGGACATTTATAAGGATCATCACACCGCATTTTGGATGAGATTAACAACACGAGCATTTTGAAAAAGATGCAGGGTCTTAATGATCAAACATATACCCTGATCTTTAATTACAGGAGGTTTAAAACAAAAAGCTGCTTCTTCAGTGTTATTTCATATTCACCCATTATAGGAGTTCTTGCATTTTCCTTTGAAATGCCAGAGCCAGGATGGCAGATGACATGCTAGTCTGACACGGCCTAAAGCTTCCAAAGCTATGAAAAACGTTGTGTTCATGTGTGCAGATTGAGACATTAGGGCCACATTTTTCAGAGGAAACTTGTTCTCAATCCCCTGAAATACAAGAAACAAACAAAACAAAACCATCAGGAAATGAAGGTTAAGTTACCAAGCAATACTTCATTCGCTTGATTACGAGAAGTACTGTTACAAGACCTGGAAAGCAGCACTTTATATTTTTCTTTCAAATTTAAAATAACAACAATGGAAGGAAAAAAAAAAACCTATTTATAATGACAGCAATAATAAAAATAACTGCACAGTCTGCTCCGTGCAGTGACTTTTTTCACCCTCTGTAAGGGAAGGGTTGCTATTTATGGAATGCTCCAAGTCTGCCTTTCAGGACGCAGCCCAGCTTGGCTGGACAGCTTTCAGTTGCTACTAGAAATATGTCACTTATTAGGAACAGAGGGGATGTTTATCACTATCTCAAGGGTTACTTTGGCTGAGGCAAAGAAATAGCTCAGTTATATAATGGAAAGAGCTGGGTCAAAGGATGAGGCATTTATATAGCGTGTACTCAAGACTCCAGGAGGGCAGACTGAGTCTCTCCCTCCTGTGCCTTTGACACAGTGTGGACCCACGGCTACACAGATCTCCCCAAGCTCCCTCAAAGCTACGGGGGCTGGAGTTACTATTAAAGAACACTGCTCAAACTTCTCAGCTGAGAGAAAAGGTGCATCTTTCCTACTGCTCCTGTTGCCCTGCCCGTGAGCCTCTTTGTTGTTACCCCACCCATCACGTAGCTGTAGCTCAAACCACATCCAAACAAACCAGAAAGGTCATCAGCTCAAGCAGCGAAGTTTGAGCACGGCATGTTTTAATGGTGCTTAATAAATCAGTGTGTGGGGGGGTGCTCCTCGCCACGTTCACTTCTGACTTCCAAAGCAAAAAGAAAGCTCCCCCACACCTAACACCACCCTGTCCCGCTTCAGCACAGGACAGAGCTGCGAAGCACCACACGGCGGCAACTCAGCCGATCGATGTGCATGCCGAGCACTTCGTTTCAAGGTCACTCCAACACCAACTTCAGTCAGAAGAAAAACAACCCGCATCCAGAGCGTTCCCTTGGCGCTTCATTCGCAGCATCCAAGGAGAGCATCGATCTCCTATCACCAACCCAAACGCCTGCCGACCACCTCTCGAAGCACAGCCGGTAAGTCAGCACGGCGCCTCGCCCCAAGGACCGAGCTCAGGAGCCCGCTGGGTGCGAGGCCTCCCCGAGCCCCACCGCGGCACCTGTTGTGCCGGCAGCCGAGCGGGGCAGCGGCGGGGGCCGCCGCGGGGCGCCGCGATCCCGTTGCCGATCGGGGGTTCGTCCTCCCCCTGCGCCGTAACGGGCTGCCCGGGCTGCGGGCCGGGGGCGGGCGAAGGTGGGAAGCGAGGAGGACGCGGGCGAGTTTAAAGCGGGGGGAGACAGAAGGGAGGAGTTTAGGGAGAGGGCTCTTGGGAAAGGAGCTTTGGGAAAGAGTCGCGGAGGGGGCGAGCGGGCTGCGCGGCTCCGGCGAGAGGACGGGCGCCTGGCGGAGACTCCCGGGGCCGCGCCGCTCGCCTCTGCCGGCTGCTTGCCCTGCGCCCCTCCCGGCGGCGGGGCGATCCGAGAGCCGCGGCTGGCGGAAGGCGTCGGTGCGGAGCGCTGCGCTGCGCGTCCGTCCCGCCCCGCCGCGGGCGGCCGGCTGGCTGACAGGTGCGCGCTGCTCCGCGGCACCGGCCGCCCGCACGCCCCCGGCGGCCCCGCGCCTGCAGCAGCAATCCCGGCCCCCGCCCGGCACGGCCCGGATTGTTTAGTCCTCGAGAAGCTGGTCTGAGTCCAGATCCTGCTTTGATCCTTTTTTTTTTTTTTTTTTTTTTTTTTTTTTTTTTTTTTTTAAGAAAAAAAAAAAAAAAAAGCCCCAAGAAAAACAAAAGCTGAAGAAGCAGACAAGGGCTCTAGGAAAAAGTTTTGGATGGGATTATGTGGAAACTACCCTGCAATTCTCCGCTGCCAGAGCAGGCTCAGTGCTGCCTGCTCCCCTGGCGGCGCTGAGAGACGCCCGGGCCTCGGTGCCGCTCCGCCAGCGCCTGCTCCGCCGCAGCCCCTCGCCCCGCCGGCCCAATGCTCCTCCTCGGGCTGCTCCTGCTGACATCCGCCCTGGCCGGACGGAGGCACGGGGCCGTCGCGGAGTCCGACCTCGGCAGCAAGTTCGCCTTCCCCGGCGCTAAGGAACAGAACGGTAACGGCGGGGCGGGCGCGGAGCCCCCCGCGCAGAGGGGCCGCCGGGGGGGGGGGCCGGGGCCGTGCGTGGGTGAGGGGTGTGCGGGGCGGGCTGGAAGAGGGCTGATCCCGCGGAGGAAGAGGGAATTACTTCCAACTTTCATGTGTACCTGAAGTGTTTGGAGAACTCTCAGACGGGAGTCCCCCTGGGCCGGGGCTGCGCGGGGCTGGAGAAAGGCTCCTTTCATTCAGCGCGGGCGGCTCCGGGGTGTGTAATTTGCTTAGCCTCTGAACTCCATGTGATTTAAATTATTCAGATTTCTAAGCGCCTTTCCTCTTGATCTGCTGTTGCGAAGTCATTTTTTAAAAAGTGTTTTGCAAGCTGATGCGTTATGTGCTGCATGAAACCACGCGTGGTGCACGGTATCTGAAGTTTGGGCCGTTAGCATGTGCTTACAGAAACCGTGGTGCTTCACGTAAGGAGGGAAAAAGGGGGAAAAAAGTCCTTTGCGCGTCAGCTAGAACGAGCTCTATGCCTGAGCACAGAGCGGCACAAAAGGAGAAGCTGGGAGCTCTCAAACTCCTGCGTGCTGTAATGAAATAGGGCAAAAATGCAGCTTTAAGACTAACGTGATTTAGTCAGCTTTGAACTTGGGACTCCCCTGATAAAAGAATTCTACGTCATCTCTCTAATAGAAAGAAAAGATGGGGAGCTCAGCAAGCGTTCTGTGTGCTGGCAGGATCCATAAAGTGCTGGTGAGCACAGCATGAGAGATGCACACTGCTGTGGCCCGCTAATGTGATGATGTATGGCACCTGCGGACTGCCAGCACTGCTGATCAAAGCGCGGCGCGGGGATCAATCTCTAATCAGAGCAGTTGTGGAGGGCCGGAGGAAAGTGATCAAAAGACCCCGGGACCCACTGCTCTGACAGGAAGCCAATCAGACTCTGTGCACAGTACAGGAAATTATCTGCTCTGTGTGAGAGGAGAAATTGCTCCCTCTGCTCCTTCCTGGCTTACCTGACATCTGGAGAATTTAGGGCACCGCTTTGTGAGGAGAAGGAGCTTGGCACTAATAGACAAAAATCTGGTACTTCTGTGCCATAGTCTGTGCAATCTGTATGATTGCAGCAGGATGCCCAGATGCCATTGTTCTGCTTCAACTTTGTTAGCTCAAAACCTGCTGCGGGGTCGGTTTTCCATAGTAGTGCTTGTTAATGCAGGGCACCGTACAATGGCAGGGATCCAGCAGAGAGGTGTGAGAGGTGGATCGTGCAAACAGAACTTGTGTAAGTGGACCTAAGAATACGTGACAGCATAAGATGAATTCTCTTCACGTGCAGCCGAAGTGCAGCTGCCTTGGGTCAGGCTTCAACTGGTTTGCAGTGCGATTTGGCATGCTGTGAGGTACAGTCAGTGCCTCTTATAGTAAGTGCGAATCCAGGAGATTTCAGTGCTGTGGAACTGTATTCTCTGGTAGTTTATACTTAAAACAATCCAGGTCCTTGATGTTGTTTACTTGAAATCCGTTCTCTAGTTGTTCAGTTGCAAAACTTTTCTCAAAAATGAGTACAAGCTTAAGTGCAACTAAGTACCAACTCCTGACTTTTTTCTTCCCTGATTTTAATTATTTGGGGGATCAGCAACACTGGTCAAACCAGTTCTTACTTGGTTTAATTAGAGTGGTTTTTTACACTCTGCTGCAACTTAAAGATTGTATAGCTTTTAGCTAGAGGCAGGTTAAAAGCTGCCTGGAGTTGGAGAATGAGATATTGCTGTTCGTGTGCCAAATAATCGTTGGTCAGCAGAGAGAGAGCTTTTTCACTCACGCAATCTACGAATAAAAACTCTACTTGTGAAACTGCTGCGTGGCCAAGTAGTTCTGATGCAGCGTGGATTACAGTGTTACTCCCCTCTGTGTGTGGATGATGCAGATGGTGGGTCAAGGTGATACTGCATGTCTATGACCAATTGTTAAATCAGTGGGACTGCTTGTGTTACAGAAGGTAAGCAATTGCTTACGGACTTTCCTTTTAGTAAGTGGAGGGTTTTTTTTTTAATTGCTAAATGAGTGTTAATGTCAGAATTGCAGTTGGACTCAATTGGGTTTATTTGTGAAATGGGAGAGTATTTAAGAACCCCTGTTTCTACAGGGGGACATTTTAGGTGGTAATTTCCTAGGGAAAGTACTTCTTTGTATCTGTGAATTAGGTATTCTTAGAACACAGCCTTTGGCTATTAGCTCCTAGGAGCTCCGTGTGATGGGCCTTGCAAGGCTGGTATAGCTCCATTTGAAATGACTTACAGCTATGTCATTTTTTGCTGGACCTCTGTGATGGTCAGGTTTTCCTTAAGAAAAGATTTATTTGTGAACTCCATTTAACATTAAAGGAGTTTGTGATTTTCTTGGGGGGGTGGGGGAGGAATCGTATCTTCAGTGTTTTCATCTCAACTGAGTAAATACTCATCTGAAGGATCAAAGATGTTTATACAACCATTTTCTGGAGATGGAACTAGTAGCAAGTGGTGCATGTAGTGATGGCTCCCATTTATTTAAATGGATTTAATTTTGACAATACTTTGTTATGCTGGAAAAAAGATTATGCTTGAATGGATCTTCAGATATAGATGGCTTTGTCAGTTTTCTTATGACTGATGTATTTCTTACCATTTTTCCGTACTGTAACAAGGAGTCAAAAGAAAGGCACCTCAGTTTCCTTTGGGAGAGCAAAACTCAATCTCTTGCATACTGAATTTGGTTGCTCGGATGGCTTACTTGTTTCTTCTTTCTGTTAATGTTCTGTGTACTTCTCATTATACTTTTCTATACTATTTTTCTATAATAATACCTTCAGCTTGTTTCTGTAGTTTCAACAGTGTCTGAGGGAGCTTTTGGTGGAGTATTTAATGAGAATGACTTAACTCTAGTGGCCTGAGTGCATTTGCTTAGTGACACTGTTAGTTTAGGTTGGATTTAATTGCAGCGTGAGCTGGTAGGAGAAACTAAATTATTCTTCCTTGGCTATTTCAGGGAAGATATGATAAGTGTTTATGCTTATTTATGGCGATCTTTTCCATTTTGTGCTGAAAAGAATCTGTTTCCGTTGCCTTTGCAACCTCCCTTTGGGTATTTGGTACACGTGGATGAGATCCCCCTGAGCCCCTTCTTCTCCAGGCTGAGCAGCCCCAGCTCTCTCAGCCTCTCCTCACAGGACAAGTGCTCTGAACCCTCTATCATCTTGGTGGCTTTCCAAAGTCTTTCTTGTCCAATTCTGGCACCCTCACTACACAGAGATCTGGCCTCACCAGTGCTGAAGGGAGGAGAAGGAAGGATCAGTGAACAGTGATGAATAAAGTTGCTGAAGCAAATTCTAGAAAACCATAGTCTTCATTAGACTTCTGTCATTTCTGCAGCATAGGTAATTTGCCAATCTTTCGATAGCTCTTCATTTTCTTTAAGTGATTTCTTTTTTATGCTTTTGAATAGAAACCCTTAGTATTAAAGATCTGATCATAGATCACTCCGTAATGTATTTCTTAAATCTTTTGGAAAGGGAAGGATTGTGTCATTTAAGCAAAAAGAAAAGTGACAAGCTGGAATTGAAGACTTGTTCATCTCAGACCAGTCTCGGGAAGACTTGGTGAGAGCAGGTGGAATTGAGCAGTGTCAAAAGGACAGAAATGGCTTCTGTCTTCTCCTTAGGTAGTGCCTGGCCTTACATGTCCCATCGTAATCATCTAGAGGATTTCCCTGTTTGTGCATCTTTGAAGGAGCTTGGAGCTAATCCATGGATAAGGACAGAGTCATGATATGAAACTACTGGTG